TTTTTTTTTTTTTAAAGATTTTATTTATTATTTTATTTGACAGACAGAGATCACAAGCAGGCAGAGAGACAGGCAGAGAGAGAGGAGGAAGCAGGCTCCCCGCTCAGCAGAGAGCCCGATGCGGGGCTCGATCCCAGGACCCTGAGATCATGACCTGAGCTGAAGGCAGAGGCTTTAACCCACTGAGCCACCCAGGCGCCCCCATAGCTTCCATTTTTTTCAGAGAAACCTTGCCCATTCCCTGAGGACCTTTATCTCCCCCTCAGTGGAACGTGCTGTCAGTGGAATTGGCTTGTGAAGAACTGCAAGGTGAGAGCTGTTACTACTTCGGCACCCTGGGGTTGGCTATGAGAGGGAAAGATGTAGAGTCGTTGGGATTTTCTACACACATAGTCATTCTCTGTAAATATCAATATTTTTACGCCTTCGTTCTAATCCTTTTGCCCCTGCTTTTTTTTTTTTTTTTAACATAGGCTCCATGCCCAATATGGGGCTTAAACTCATGACCCTGAGATCAAAAGTTGCATGCAGTACTGACTGAGCCAACCAGGTACCCCAATCATTTTGCCTTTTACTTCTTTTTCTTTCTTTCTTTCTTTTTTTCTTCTTTTTCTTTTTTACTACTCTGGATAGACCTCTAAGTAATGTTGATGGGAAGTGGAGATAGAGGGCATTCTGATCTTATGTGGTAGCCAGCCTTCCAGATGGCCCTCAATGTCAATACCTTCTACTAGTCTTCACACCCTCATGTAGTCCCCTCTCGTATTGTTTGTGTGACCAGTTGAGCATGGTAGAAGTAAAGGTATGTCACTTGTGAGACTAGGACATAAAAGACATGGGGACATTTGCCTCTCTCTCATGGAAACTAGTTCTAGGGGAAGCCACCTCCCATCTCGTGAGAAGAGGTCTATGGTGAGAAACTGAGGACTCCAGCCAACAAGTAAAGAACTGTGGCCTCCTGCTAACAGTCATGTGAGTGGCCTCAAAGGGGTCCTCTGACCCCAGTCAGGTCTTCAAATGGCTATAGCCCCAGCTCACTTCTTGACTGCAACTTAAGAGAGACCCTGAGCCAGAGCCACTCAGTTAAGTCACTTCCAAATTCCTAAAGCACAGAATCCATGAGATAATACATATTTGTTGTTTTAGTCCATGAAGTGTTGAGGTAACTTGCTATATATACCATAATAAATCACTGACCTCAAAGGAAAAGCTTTCAACATTTCACCATTAACATGATGTTTGCTACTGGTGCTTTGTAGTATCCTTTGTCATATTAAGAAAGTCCCCTTTCAGTCCTAGTTCACTAAGAGTTTTGTTTATTTTTTTAAAGTAATCTGTACCCCAACATAGGGCTTGAACTCACGACCCCGAGATAAAGAGTCACATGCTTTAACAACTGAGACAGCCAGGCGCCCTCGCTAAGAGTTTTGTATCATTAATATATGTCAATTTTTTTTATTAAATATTTTTCCTGCAGCTATGGAGATGACCCATGATTTTTCTTGTTTGGTTTGTTAACATGGTGAATTCATTCATTGATTTTTTTTTTAAGATTTTATTTATTTATTTGACAGACAGAGATCACAAGTAGGCAGAGAGGCAGGCAGAGAGAGAGAGGAAGGAAGCAGGCTCCCTGCTGAGCAGAGAGCCCAATGTGGGACTCGATGCCAGGACCCTGAGACCATGACCTGAGCCGAAGGCAGCAGCTTAACCCACTGAGCCACCCAGGTGCCCCATTCATTGATATTTTTAAAATTAAACTTAGCTTGCATTACTAAAATTGTAATAAACACAACTTGAACATGATGTGGCATTCTCACATATTGCTGAATTCAGCTTCCTAATATTTCCTTTAGAATTTTTGTGTCATTTTTCATGAATGAAATTTATCTGTAATTTTTCTTCTTCCATAGCGTATCAAGTTTTGGTATCAAGATTACATATTTTGGGGCACCTGGGTGGCTCAGTGAGTTAAGCATCTGCCTTCAGCTAGGGTCATGATCATGGAGTCCTGGGATCGAGCCCCGCATCAGGCTCCCTACTCAGCGGGAAGTCGACTTCTCCCTCTGATCCTCCCCTCTCTCATGCCCTCTCTCTCTCAAATAAATAAAGAAAATCTTTTTAAAAAGTACATATTTGGGGCACCTGGGTGGCTCAGTGGGTTAAAGCCTCTGCCTTTGGCTCAGGTCATGATCCCAGGGTCCTAGAATTGAGCCCCTCATCGGGCGCTCTGCTCAGCAGGGAGCCTGCTTCCCTTCCTCTCTCTGCCTGCCTCTCTGTCTACTTGTGATCTCTGTCAAATAAATAAATAAAAATATTTTTTAAAAAAATTCTCAGGGCACCTGGGTGGCTCAGTGAATTAAGCCTATGGTTTATGGTTTATATGAGGTGGTCGGTCAGGTGCAGCAACAGAGGAGACAGAAAAGAGCAGGGGGGGAACCCCCCAAAATGCACAGGTCTTAGGGACAGGAGACACAAATCCACCTTTTGCTAATTAAAAAAAAAAAATTGGGGGATGCGTGGGTGGCTTAGTCGTTGAGTGTCTGCCTTTGGCTCTGGTCATGATCCCAGGGTCCTGGGATGGAGCCCCACACTGGGCTCCCTGCCTAGCGGGGAGCCTGCTTCTTCCTCACCCACTCCCACTACTTGGGTTCCCTCTCTCACTGTATCTCTCTCTGACAAATATATAATTAAAATCTTAAAAGAAAAAAATAAATTTTACAGGGCCACATTGGAAAGACACCAGGGTGGTCAGAAGGCAGAAAACAGTGGGATGTGGGAATATTTAGGCCTTTACAGGGGTTTCTGGGGAAAAGTCAGGGAAGGGTGTAGGACTGGCTAGTTGAGTAATTTTGGCCAGCTTTGGGCTCCAGGGTTGGTCCCTAGTTGCCTGGCACCTGGCCCTGGGATGATTAAGGCAGGGGAGTATTGCCTCCTGGGTTGCAGGGGCCAGACAGAAGAGAGACGGCCCTGGATGATGCTCCCAGCTGGGCCCTTTGCCATCTCTTAAGAATTGTCTCTCTCAAGCCAGGAAAGGGTTTTTCTAGGACGTCAAAACATAGTAATATATAGAAAGTTTCAGGTTATTTACACTGATGTGTTATCTAGTTATATCTGTGGGACAAGGTGAGCTTAGGGTCCTCCTAAGTCCTCCATCTTCTCTTTCTTTGAAAACTTTAAAAATACATGTATTTTTAAAGTGTGTGTGTGTGTGTGTATGACATTGTACTAGGCTCCAAATTAATTACTTCTTTTCTCTAAAAGAGTTTGTACAATATTGACTTATATCTTCCATAAATATTTGATAGAACTTGCTGATGAAGCCATGTAGGCCTAGAACCTGTTTGTAGGGAAATATTTTTCTACCTTTATTTATTTATTTAAGAATTACTTATTTATTATTTTGAGAGAGAGCAAGAGAAAAAAGCATGAATTGGGGGGGAGGTGCAGAGGGAGAAGGAGACTCCCCACTGTGCAGGAAGCCTGATAGGGAACTCCATACCAGGACCCGAGTCATGACCTGAGCTGAAGGCAGATGCTTAACCAACTGAGCCACCCAGGCGCCCCTATAGGAAAATTTTTAAACTAGGGTTTCAGTTCTTTTGAGTTACTGGTCTATTCAGAGTTCCTGTTTCTTCTTGGGTATTTTATAAACTATCTTTTTCCCCTTGGGAATTTGTCCATTCCATAAAAATTTTCCAATGCTTTAGCTTAAAGTTCATAATATTCTCTTGGTTTCTTCTGAGGATCTGCAGGGACTATAGTAATGCCCTGTTTTTCATTCCTGACAGGGTTCATTCCAGCCTTTTGTCTGTCTGTCTCTCTCTCTTTTCTATTTCATTTCACCAAAGGTTTATCAATTTTATTAGTCTACTCAAAGTACCAACTTGTTTTATTTTTATTCTATTGTGTGTATGTATGCTTTCAATTATCTTTGTTATTTCCCCATTTCTAATTTCAAGTTTAATTTGCTGTTCTTTTCTACTTTTTGATGCATATTTAGTTCATTAATTTTTATATTTTCTTCTTTTCTGATCTAACTGTATAAGGCTATAAATTTCCATCAAGAGAATAGCTTGTATCCCACAACTTTTGATATGTAATGTTTTTAAATTATTTATTTCAGATTTTGTAATTTTATTATGATTTCTTCTTTGATTCATGAATTATTTAAAAAATTTTTTTGATTTATGAATTATTTAGAAATATATTGTTTTATTGCCAAACATCTGGGGTTTTCTAGCTGTCCTTTTGTTTTTTATTTCTAGCATAATTGTGTTGTGGCTAAAGAATAGCACTAAATGATTTTAATCCTTTGGACTTGTTGAAACTGGCTTTATGGCTTAGTATATCATAAATAATAAACTCTACCCTCAACATGGGGCTTGAACTTACGACCCTGAGATCAAGGGTTGCATGCCCTACTGACTGAGCCATCCAGGTGCCCTTTCTTTTCACTTTCTTGATGGTATCCTTTGAAGCACAAAAGCTTTAAATTTTTATACAGTCTAATCAATCTATTTTTACTTTTTTTTTTTTAAGATTTTATTTCTTTATTTGACAGAGATCACAAGTAGGCAGAGAGGCAGGCAGATAGAGAGGGAGGAAACAGGCTCCCCGCTGAGCAGAGAGCCTGATGCGGGGCTCGATCCCAGGACCCTGGGATCATGACCTGAGCCGAAGGCAGAGGCTTTAACCCACTGAGCCACCCAGACGCCCCTCTAATTTTACTTTTTTTTTTTTTTAAGATTTTATTTATTTATTTGACACAGAGAGAGAGATCACAAGTAGGCAGAGAGGCAGGCAGAGAGAGGAAGGGAAGCAGGCTCCCTGCTGAGCAGAGAGCCTGATGTGGCGCTCAAGATCCCAGGATCCTGAGATCGTGACCTGAGCCGAAGGCAGAGGCTTTAACCCACTGAGCCACCCAGGGCCGCCCCCTCTATTTTTACTTTAATTGTTTATGCTTTTGATATCCAATCTAGAAAACCATTGCCTGGGGCGCCTGGGTTAGAGATAGCAGAAAGGAAAGAATTTTACCTACTGGTAAAACTCTCAGTTCTTAATTTGGGGTACTGGGTTTTAAGTTCCAGAATTTACATTTTTTTCCTGTTTAATATTTACAATATCTTTTTTTTTTTAAAGATTCCGTTTATCCACTTGACAAACAGAGGTCACAAGCAGGCAGAGAGGCAGGCAGAGAGAGAGGGGGGAAACAGGCTCCCTGCCGAGCAGAGAGCCCGATGCGGGGCTCGATCCCAGGACCCCCAGACCATGACCTGAGCCAAAGGCAGAGGCCTAACCCACTGAGCCACCCAGGTGCCCCTACAATATCATTTTTAAAAATTTCTATTTCCCAACCAAATTTTCCATCCTTGGCTTTTATTCCTTGAACATAGTAAGCATAATTGTTTTGTAATCTATGCTAGTCATCTCAGTATCTGGAGACCCTGTGAGTCTGTTTCTGTTACCTACTGTACCTACTGTTCTTACTTGTGCTGAAATCCTTGGGTTATCTTTGTGTACTAGACATTGTTTTAGAAAATTATTTATAGAAACACCCTGAGGTTCAAGATAATATTGTCTTCCTCTAAAGAGAACTTATTCTTTTGCCATCTCCTGAGGGCACTAGCGGTTGGAACCACCTGACTTTGAAATTTCCACCCTAGCCTCTGGAGGCTGCCAGAATTGCAGCTCAGCCTGTTCCAGAACAAAGCCCGAAGGCTTAAGTAGCCTTCAGAGGAGGCTTCACTTCTCCACTTTCCCATCCTCTCCAGTATCTCGGCATCTCAATTCAGCAATTCCTCAGATCTTGTTACTTCTCTCATTCTTTTAAGAGATTTCAGACATATTTATTGTTTACATAATAGCTAGGTGTCCAAATCCAGAATTGGTAGACCCTTTGATTTGAGGGATCCAACAGGCAGGAATAGCTTCAGGAAAGGTAGGGTCCTCACTGTGCTATGGGATCAATCCTGATTGGTCTGAGTCAGTCAGGGAAACCCCTTCTCTCTGTGCCTGAGGTGGGCCTATGACCCACTTTTGGGAGAAAAGACACAAGAGGAAAACTCCTACGAATTTGTGGATGAATTTTTGTGCCCATTTGAAAGAGAGCTGCTTGGGAACCAGAGCCCTTTCTCTTTCGGGGCTTTGAGATGATGTTATGTAAGGAAGTCACACTTGAATCTATGGCAACCCTCTTATGACTGAAAGAAAAAACAAGAAGGGTTATCCACTCATGGCCCTTGATATTGTTGAGCCAAATAAAAGCCCTGAAACTCTGCTTCCAGGCTTCTTAAGGAAATAATAAACATCTTTATGGTTTCACTGTTGGTAGGATTTTCTATTGTATGCAACCCAAAGCATTCCAAACTGACATGTCATCCTTTGGGACTCAGCTGGAAATGCCACTTCCTCAGTGAGGCCTTCCTGAAACCTCCACATCAACACATTTGGCAAGTTCTCTACTTTCCTTTTAGTGTCCCTCATCATATTTGAAATTATATGTGGAATGACAGTCTTTCTCTCTGGGCTGTAAACTGCATGGGAAGAGAGACCATGGTGGGGGCCTAGAGCCCAGCCCAGTGCCAGGCATGTTAGCCTCTAAATCAATAATTATCCAAATAAACAAACAAAATAAAGAGTCAAGAGGCCAAGTAGAGGGAGGAACTGGATAAAAGTCCTGGCGGATGTGAATTAAAATTTGTGCCATTGTGCTTCTAACACATGAAAACTCTTAAAGCTCAAAGAGTCATTATAGACGGGTTGGAGTGGCCATTGTGAGCATGGGTGTGAGTGTTTATCTGGTACAAGTAAGAGCTGCCAAGTTGTGTTAAAGACCCAGCTGGGATTAGACCCCATAAATGTGAATTGGCATAAATCGGCAGAATTAAGAGATTTTCTCCAGCAGTGTCCAGCTGGCTAGATGTGTGAGACATGTTGGGTAATTAAGTTTATCCAAAGATGGGGACTCTCAGGACAGGCTGTTTTCTTTCTTTTTTTAATTTTAATTTTTTTAAAAGATGTTATGTATTAATATGAGAGAGAGCGTGCATGCACAAGTAGGGAGAGGGTGGAGGAGCAGAGGGGGAGGAAGAAGCAGATTCCCCACCAAGCAGAAAGCCTGACGTGGGGCTCAATCCCAGGACTCCAGGATCACGACCTGAGCCGAAGGCAGATGCTTAACAGACTGAACCACCCAGGTGCCCTGAACAGGCTGTTTTCTAGTGAAGTAAATAAAAGTAGCTGTGGAATTTCATTTCCATTCTCTCAATAAAGTAAATCTCTTAGAATTCAAAGTCTTTTTGACTTTTTGTTGACCTTTTTTGTTCCAAACTGCAGAATACCCCCTGGCTGGAGCATTCACCCCCAGAGTCTTCCCCCATCACCCACTTGCCATGGAAAGACTTGAGGGGGTATCTGTGAATTTCCTAAGGGGCGTTGGTGTGTGTGCACATGCATGTTTTTCTGGGGAGAGTGTCCAGAAAGGCGAGAAGCACGGACTTGGGTTAACTCCTAGCCGTGGAGCACTGAGGGGGTCAGGGCTTGATGGTGGAGGAGTCATGGTTCCGCTTGTTGACAGGAGGTGGTGGCACGGTGGTAGGTGTGCAGACTCCAGGGACTGAGGCATAGGCCGTGCCACATAACTCCTCAGTTTTCTCCTCCATAAAATGGAAATGATAATCACATTCCTTACCTCAGGGGATGATATACTAAGATTAAATGAGTTAATACTTGCAAATGTTAGGACGCTTCCTCACATTTAGTGAGGTCCGATTTTTATTATAGCTAATTGTTAGTGATGCACTGGGATGCACATTGTGGACAAAGACCTTGAATCAGAAAGAGGGTGTCTCGGTGGCTCAGATGGTAAAGCGTCTGCCTTCGGCTCAGGTCATGATCCCAGGGACCTGGGATGAAGCCCCACTTGGGGGGGGGGTCCCTGCTCAGTGGGGAGCCTGCTTCTCCCTCTGCCTCTCTTTCTGTCTCTCATGAATAAATAAATAACATCTTAAAAAAAAAAAAACAGCATTTGAAGGTGCACAATTGTTGCTGATCTTGTGCAAAGCACACATCTAAGCTTTCTCTCCCCTCTGGCACTTAGGGCAAGTTCCTTAACTGGCCTGTGCCTCAGGGATCTCACCTGCAGTATGTAGATGATAATAGTAACTACCTCACCGGACTGTGGTAGGGGTTCTCGGCAGGCTCAGAACAGTGGCTCCAACTCAGTAAATGATAGTATTTTTTTTTTTTTAATTTTTTAACCAGGCTCTAATGTGGGGCTTGAATTCACAACCCCGAGATTAAGGGTCATATGCTCTATGACTGAGCCAGCCAGGAGCCCTTCTGCTTGTATTACGATTATTGCTGCCTAGGTATGTTCAGTCTCCTTGTTTTGAGAGAGGCCCTTTCCAGGTGATTCCCACCGCCTTCCCTCACGCCGAAACTCCACAACTCACACAGCACCTTCACGCATATGCCATGTCTGCCTCCCAGCGGCAGAGAGAAAGTGACTACCCTAGACCCCTCCACCTGCCCTTGCCTCGTCGTATTCCCTTCCAAGAGTCTCCCCACCCCGTCTCTCCCCAGTTCCCATCTATAGCCATCCCACTCCTGAAGCACCACACTGATCACAAAGCCTTCCCAACCGAGAATCCCCCTGCAGAACCAATCCCATGAGAGACGTCCGGTCAGTCCTGCTCAGCCTGCACCTCTCACCAAGATTCCTCGCACAGCCAAGACCTTTGCCAGAAAGCTGCTGAATGAAGGAAATCAGAATGGTGATGATTCTCCCACCCCAAGATGTTCCCATCTTGAAGGGAGGGAAAGAGGAGACAACGAGAGACTGATCTGCACTGTGGACTAAGAGACTGAACACCCAGGCAGTGGCCAGAGCAGATGGAAAAACAGAATTCCGACCCATGACCTGCAGAAACCTGCCCAGCAGACCAACTCTTCATCCAACAAGAAAACACCCAGGCTATCCATAGGTCACATCTGTAAGAGGACTATCTCTACTTAAAATTCAGAAAGCGAAACGTGAACTTTCTGTAACAATTGGCTCAAAATGGCCAGAACGGACAACTTCCCCAAGTTTTGTCCACATTGCAACTTAGAGCCAAACAATGTGGAAGACAGTAAATGGCCAAATAACGCACCCCCAACCAGTCACACAGGACGCCTGGCTTCTAGATACCTGCCTTTACAGCTTCCCCAGGCGGACAGCCTACAGAGAAGGCACATCGGAATCCTTCCCTTTTTCCTGCTATAAATAAAGCTTTCCCACCCCTCTGCCTGACCTTCAGTCTCTTTGAGAACAAGTGACCATGGCTGACTGACCCCCTTGATGTAGCAAGCTCTGAATAAATAGCCTTTGCTCTTCTTATCTGGTTGGTGTTCGTCTATTTCCCCAAGACCCAGGAATGGCTGCTCAGGGAGCAAGGCTCGGACCATCCTCCGTCAGTACCCTCGGTTCGCCTGGGGTGGAGCTCGAGCCCTCAGACAACAGAGCTGCTGGCTGGTCCACTGGAAACGCTGATCAGACCTTTGGACTCCACTGAGCCAGAGCTGGAGAAGCCAAATTGACTCAGATTAAATCTTCCAGGCATAAAATCACAAAAGAGTTTTTGTTAGATGCTGATTGGGAAGGAGGGGCCCCAGAGATCTGGGAAAAGGGTAGGACATCTGGGAATAGAGAAATGAGGGAGAGGCCGGAATTTTGCCTAGAACAGGAGCCATAGATTGCCTGGGGCTGCTTTGGTGGGATGGAGAAGGGATTTTTTTTTGGGGGGGGGGGGTTGGGGGGTGTCCAGATTCTTATCTAACCTCCACTGAGATCCTTTAGTCAGTCCACAGACGTTTACTGAGTGCCTAGGGTGTGCCAGGCCCCATTCTGCAGTGCTGGAGATGGGAGTTCACATCCTAGTAGGGGAAGACAGTAAATGGCTAAAGAAGTAAAATAACTTCAGAGTGGTAAGTGCCCTGAGGACCGTGGGATGGGATAGTACTGTGGAAGGGACACGCCATGAGAAGGGGTGGCTGGGGAGGGCCTCCCGGAGCCACAACCTGGGGGCTGACCCAGAGGGAACCAAGGGTTCTGCCATCAGGGGAGACAGTTTTCCAGGCAGAGGGAGCTGCTGAAGCAAAGACCCTGATGGGAGACCTGGCTCTGACACCTTCGATAAGGAACAGAAAGAAGGTCGCTGTGGCCAGAGCTGCGTGGATAGAAGGTGAGAATGGTGGGATGAGACCAGGAGGGACGTTCAGGGACACCGGGAGTCAAGGGCCTTCCAAGCCATTCTAAGAGTTGAGATTTTATTTTGGTCTCAATATAATAGGAAGTTACTGAAGGAAGACACAAAATGGCTGTTTTGCTAAAGCTCTTTTGTCAAGGCCTTCAAAGCTCGCCTCCGATGAAATCTTGCGAAGATCCCGGCAGGTGAGGGATGTGTGAATGTGGGCAGACAGCGTTAAGCAGAGAAAATAGGGGTCAGACCCAGTTGCTGCAAGTCACAGCCAGAACCCCTTGCTGAGCAGGACAAAAGTGGTCATGGAGTAAACCCCTGAAATTAAACACTAATTCTGTGTGTGTGCATGCCTTATTTTAGGGAGTAACCCAGAGTTTTCCAGACTCTCAGAGGAGTCTGCCACCAAAAAAGACCAGAAAAGGAGAATATTGACCTGTATGCCTGTATACACACGTGCCCCCTCAGTAAGGACCTGTGCACGATGCCCTGCAGAGGAGAGTGGGGGGCAGGGCAGGACGGGAAACTTTTCACTGAGTACCATGTGCTTTACCTATTTTTAAAAGTCCACTTCAGGGTAAAGGACCGAAGCTGGAGAGGAATGGATGGGTGGGGAAGAAGGTGCCAAAGTCTTGGTGTGGCCCGGGAGGGGCAGAGACACATACTGGCTGATCCTAACTTGACTCTCCCACCCCCGGCCTGTGCACACATGCCTCACGCCTAGAGCAGTCTCACCCTGAGTCCTCAGAGGGCTCAGCCGCCCAGTAAGCACCACCTGCACTGTTCTGGGAGAGTGACAGAAACAGCTGTCCCAGAGATGACCTTTGGTCAGTTCACCGAAGCCACTGTCCTCCTCTGCCCATGCCCCAGGCTCCTCAGAACCCCACACCTTCAAAGAGAGAATCCTGGACCTCCTGAGCACCCCGCTGAGTCCCCCAGGAGCTCTTGGCTCAGATCCAAGCACACTTCAACTCCCAACGGCTTGGTTGGTCATTTTGCTTTGAGTAAAAGTTCCCCGGTTCTGCCTGGGTTCGTGCCCGGCCCTAGCCAGGCGAATGGAAGCTGAGATGGGGCTGTTTTTTTCGAATTCTCTCCAACATCTCGGTTTGGATAGGCTTTGCCTGCCCACAAATAGGTCTGGCCGGGCCTTCAGGACCCAGCTGTTCTCAGGCATCAGCCAGGGGTAGGAACCAGCCACCCTCGGGTATTCTGATCCCCAGTAATCTGGGGCCACGAGTCAGGGAGTGGAGTCAGCCGCTGATGAAAGGTCCCTGGCAGGATGCAGAGCAGGCTAGGGCCTCCTGGTTCACACTTGAGGAGGGTACAAGGGTGGCTATGTGCAGGTCAGTTAAACCCCAGAGCTCCTGCCCTGCTGCGGAACAATTGAGACCTTTCCACACCCTCCTGAGGCCTCTGGACCACATGGGGAACCGGCACAGCCACTTCCACTCGCAAAGCCAAACAGAATGTTCCTGCCCCTTCTTCTAACTCTAGAATAAGTACATAATAACATCAACCAGTATTTTGTGGGGAGTCACTGTGGCGGGGCCTGATTCAGTGAAGACTCCATGTGTATCACCTCCCTAAAAATCCCGCAGAACCTTTAGTGGTCACCTGAGAGCCCTGGAAATCCCCTGGGGACAGTGGCACCTCCAACTCCAGGTGCACCGGTGCATCTGTGGGTGGGGGAACCCTGGGGCCGAGGGAGCTGAGTTGCCTCCCGCCCACAGAAAGCCTCCACCCTCCTGGCTCTGCCTTTCTGTCCTCAACGTGTTCAGCCTCCCCTCCTGTTCTGCGACACCTGCTGGCCCCATGCACCCTTTTCTCCCCCCAGAGTGCTTCCACAACTCTTGGAGCTCGCTCACCGCACGGGGCAAACACTTCCTTTTTGGCGTGTATCCCCAGTTCTTTTGGACTAATGTCTCTGTGGCCATTTCGAAGACTTTTGCTAAGGTTTCCCCTCCGCATAAGCCACACACAAGAGGTGACTGAGAGCCGGCCCTGCAGGTGAAACCCAGAAGTCTAAAGCAAAGCTCCGGCCCTGAGCAACGGAGAAGCCAGTTACTGATGCAGTGCGCTTGCTTGCGGTCCGCGGGGAGCCGCAGGGAGTGGCAGAGCCGGGTGCAGCTGGAGGGAGAGAAGTCTGGCCAGACCAGCACGGGCTCCCTGAGAGAGGTGCCAGTGGAGCTGACCTTGAAGAAGGTCGGGTGTGAGGAAGGGGAAGGCGAGAAGGCATTCTGTGGAGGCTGTGATCACAGTGTCAGGCTTCTGCATTGATCATCCGTGTAGGAGGCCAGGGGAACTTCATTAGGTGATGGCCACGGAAAGAACAAGAACGCATAACTATGTGAAGGCCAGAAAGTCAGTCTCTGGGCTCAGAGCCCTGGATTTCATATCTGTGAAATGACCTGAGGTCTAACTCTGGGTTTGCCAAGAACTGCCACAAGTGCTTCACCTGTAAAATGAAGGACTGGGCAAAACGTTCTAATGTTCCACACTATTCTAGAGCAAGGAGAGAAAGGACTCAGGTGACTCTAGGCTTCCAAAGAACGGTCCCAACAACAGGAGGCGAGAAATCAGGAGAGGAATCAGGTTTGGGGAGAAGACTTTAGTTTTAAGTAAATAGGCTGGACCCCACCATGACCCTGCCTTCCACTGGGTTCTTGATCATGGGCACAGGCTGACTGGGTCTGTCCCACTGCGTCCCCTCCTCGTGACCTCGCTGGCAGGAAGGTCAGAGCAAGGAAGAGGAACTGGCCTTTGCTCTGGGAGATTTGTCAGCTTCTCCCTTGGTGAATAAACACCTCTGTCGTCACCCACATGGTCTTTCTGGAAGAGGAGTTGATGCTGCGGAGTGCTTGAAGGCTGGGGTGGGATCCCCTAAAGGGATAGTTGAGTTTCCATCATCCCAGGGTAAGGGAAGCTTGAGCAATAAATTGTTGGGAAGTTAATTGAAATGTGATTCCTTCATGCCTGGGTTCCTGCACCCACGTGAGTACCTGGTTCACAGGCAAACCTCCGGTGAGTGGTTCAGATGGGGGCGTCATGCTTGGGTGTGAACACAACCCCTCGGGAACAGGATTCGCCAGGTTGGGGACTCGGTTCCTGTGATTTAATAATCCCCGCAGGCGGCTGTCAGTAGCACCTAGGTGAGAGGCTCCCTGGCCTGGAGACAGCTGCCTCAGCCAGGGGTTGGGGCCAGGAGAGGGATGGATGGAGATGGTCCTGGGAGACAAGGAGTTGGCTCAGAGAGAGTGAGTGGGGGCTTGGGGATGGGGTGGATGTCCCAAGCGTAGAGGGGAGGGGGGGCTGAGGGCACTCCAGGCAGGGAAGGAGACACATAGGCCCTGGCTGAGGGGCTCAGCCTGTTTGGCGGGGTGTGAAGCTGGAGAGGCGGGCTGCGGTCACAGGGCAAAGCTCTGAATGCCAAGCTCAGAGCCAGACTAGATCCTGAAGCTGCCAAGAGCAGGGAAGGCTGTGAGCAGAAAGGGGAGACCATCTCCAGCACCAGGCGCAGACGTGGCCCTTATTTGTCCACTCAGGGCCCTTGAAGTCCCCGAATGAGCCATGGCCTGTGGTCAGAGGGCAAGCCCGCACTACCTCCTGCCTCAACTCGCCTTGCCTTCACATCATGCCCAGACACTTCTATTTCTGACTTCAAGGCCTTGGTATGTATGAAATTCTTGCCTCTCCTTTGGCAGCCCTGCTCGCCTCTCTGGCCACAGTTTTGAGTTTGTACCCTTATTCTTACCCTTTTATGTCTGCCTTTCTTGGGCCTTCAGCACAATCTGTCAAGATTAATTTGACACCAAACTGGCTTTCTCTAGGAAGAGGAAAGGCAGGGAAACTTCTAGGCACGAGAGCAAAATTCATGTCATGTGGGAAGAATTACCGTGACTCCTTCCTTAAGGCAGTTAGAGTCTTCTGTGTCCAGTGACAATCCATTGGAGAAAGAAGCCATTTCTTGAGGCGCAGGTAAATAGGAATATGGATTCTGGCCCATAGAATCTGGTGCTCCGCTGGCCCTTCCCTGTTTTGTTCTGTAACTGCGAATGAGACACCTTCCTCAAACCATGAATAGGACCCCCATCACTTCTAGAACCTGCTTTCTCTGTTTACCTCTGCTCTGCTTGGAAAATTCTTAATTTACTTCTGGAATTAGGTGTGGGGTGGGACATTGGGTCCGGTTATCACATGGACCTTTATTCTCTCGTAGGAGCCTCTCTGGGCTGGGAAGATAGGTTTCTGTCACCTTCCTTACTGGGGACAACATGCACTATTTCCTGCTTTTAATTCACATCTGTAGTTGATCTTGGAATTGGTTACAGTACTCTGTGTGGCCAGGACACTAAGTGCACTTCCAGACTCAAGAACGAAACAATAGGTTGCTCTGTTTTCTCAGAACGCTTGGAGTCCTGAAGCCTGGTCCCCACCACCACTAGGCAGTGCCTGCCCTTCTTTCTGTGACCCAGCCCTTCTGCCCAGAGCATCTCTGACCTGCTTCCGCTGAACCCAAGCCAGCCCACAGCATCTCACACTCTGGTCCAGAAGCCCCAAGGCAGCAAGGAGCCTGCCAAGTGGGGAAGACATCACAGAGCTCGGTCCTGGTGGTGGCTCTGCAGCCAGAGGTCTTAGTAAGGAAGACAAATTCTGCCCAGACAGCAGCATCACTTTTTCCCCCAGTCCTTGGCACAGAGGCTGCCCCCACCCCCTGCCCTCCCGCCATCTCAACCTGCTGTGAGAACACATGAATATGTCACTTTATCTCTGGCAAGTCCTTGCTGAGTCATGCTGGGCTATGGGACTCCCCTGGTCAGAGAAGTCAGGGCCTCTAGACAGAACAGCTTGTAAGTCTTCACACAGGGCAGAGTCTTGATCTGTATGGCACGTCAGCTGGAAAACAATTTGAACAGCATCGTTAACCATAACACTGACCACCTTTTGTACAGGACTCTGAGCTCACACACACAAGCTATCATCTTTATTTTGGTTTTTATAATAACCTACAAAGTAGAGAAGCTGTGCACTGTTGTTAGTCCATTTTTAGAGATGCCAAAGCTGAAGCCGAGCATGCCTGAGGCCACACAGGTCTCCAAATGGCAAAAAAAGGAACTGGAGTCTGGATTGGTTCCGGTTCTCCAGCACTTTGTCTCTTCAGGACCCGGTGCCAAGTATCACCAGCTCGCAGTGGCAGCAACAGCTCGGACCACCGTGGGCTCCCCAGGGCCTGGTAGCTGCAAAGGCATGTGGATACTTTTGAATGTTCTCTAAGATCCTAATGACAAGGCTGAGTGGGAGCTTACATCAGAGGGACAGGTGCTGGCCAGTCCTTCCCATCCCTGGAGACAGGTACCATTTTATTAAACCTGTTAAATTGGTTGTGTGGAGACTATCACAGAGGATATGGCCTGAGAAATCTTCCAACTTAGCAGACAACGAATATCCACAAACATCTCAGAGGACTAATCCAGAAGCCCTAGCTTTATGGCCATGTCTCAAACACATATGAAAGAAGATATGCACATGAGCCCAAACCACTTAACACAGTTGTCAAAGTACCGACAATATTATAAACCTAATGGCTGCCAAGTTCTGTCCAATCAATTCACTCGATTCCACTGATATTTGCTGAGTGTGTCCGGTCTGTAGAATGCCGAAGAGCAGACAGACACGTGCTCAGGGAGGTACTGAGGAAAAGTCCGTCACCGAGGACCCAGGACCTACCTGAGGGGCACTATTAGATTGAAATATGGAGCTCAAATTGAGAAGAATTCTGACTTTCGGAGTTTCTGACCACATTTAATGTCTCCAGAGCAGTGACTAGGAAACCAGAGCGTCCTATTGTGTCTTGGTCCTCACTTGGCAAACAGGTCACATTCTGTTTCTGCGTCATTTTATGACCCTAGAGCCCCTGGAGCCATGCTAGGACAAGACAGCTATCAGAGCTAGAATGTGGCCAGAGCTAAGACCATGCTCCCTATTTCTCATTCATGGGCTCATCCCATAATTATTAAATGCCTGCTATGCGCAGGGTGAGGTGCCCAGTGGTCCCACCCACCGGGTTCCTTGCAGGGAAAAGGTCACAATCGGCTGTTTTAATAACCTGTGGGAAGTGAGCTAAATGGGCCAAGGCAAAGCCTAATGGTCAGAAGAATGGCCTCAGTGAAAGAAAACAGCGTGAACCAATGTGACAGGACACTGGGAATCAACAGCTGGAGACCAGCCTGGTGTGTAGCGATTGGGAAAAGAGCGGCTCTTCTGGAACAAAGGAGTTGAGCAAACCATGATTCCAAGAGGCAGAAAAGCCAACACCAGGTTTTCTGAAAATGGTTGCTGTGACAACAAACCAAAAGACAGATGATTTCATACGGGTTCCTGGGCCCCACCTGTACACAGCAACTTTATCTGGAATAAGGACAATGTCTCACAGGAAACATTAGTTAAAAATTTTACTTAATTCAAAACACAACTCCCTTAATCTACTACTAGAAAAAAAATGATTAAGCCAACTCAACTAAATTTCTCAAAAATCTGTACATACATACATACATACATATACGGAAAATAGCTTCGACCTGTGAGATTTGGGGCAGAGTACTGCATTTCTCTTTGTGTTGTTCTTTGCAGAACTGTTAAGATGAGCACCGTGCACAGAGTAAGTGCTGTACACATGTTAGCTCTATTATCATTAAACTGCTGTGTTAAGTTCAAAGTCAGACGAATACTCAGCCTGTCCCCCTCTTTTTCTTTTATCTGTCCTATCTCTACAGATGCTTTTGGGTGAACATCTAATTCTCACACAATCTTTGAAAAACCCTTCTTTTTATCCTCGAGGCAGTGTCCACAGATTTAATCTGGTACTTCACAAGTTGCTGAGCCATAGGAAATTCTTTCCTTGGTACAATATTTTCAGACCACCGAGTCACAGGAGGTGACAGCTGTAGTAAATCTTGTGGGCTCTTCAGTCCACAGCCACTTCTTAATGGAAAGGACTATTTCTGACCTTCAGTTCATGGCAGTTGCAAATGTCAAAGGCAGATCTTTTCCCTCCTCTCCCAGGCTCCCTCCTGTTCTGCAGTTTGCCTCCTCTTAGATAAATGAATGCTGATGGGATGTCATTCCCCGGGTGCTGAAAGATCCCCGACCTAAAATATCTTCCTCTGGCCCTGTGGGCTGGGTGTTTCGTCACCTGCATTGTGCTCTAAGGTCTGAGCAAAGGGGCTTCCCCTCCAAACCCAGGACTATAAATATGTCTCTGGGTTAGGACTGTATCATCAACAGTCCCTAGATAAACTAGCCCTCCTGGGAGGGCAGCATTAACCCATTATCTCCCCAAGCTCTTTAGGAACACATGACCATTGCTAAAGATGTTTTAAGGAGAGGCACAAATTTGAGGCTTGTAGACAAATCTGATCAATAGTCATGTTTTGTGGAGTGTACTTACTGTCCTAAGAAATTTTTTTAGTGACTTTTATATATTTTCAAACCAGGGTATAACTTCTCCTGAAAAAACAAAAACAAAATACAGAAGCTCTAGCAACATGGTCTTGAATCCCCAGAAAATTACAGCAGTCTCTGGTGTCCCCACTCAGCTTACCTACCTACCTCAGAGGCCTCTGAGCTGCGGTGAAAAGTTGGGAGAGCCGGCCTGGGCACCTGGGACTCATTTGTTCTGTAACATTCCAATTCAAATATTTATTTTAACCCTACGAATACAGGGGGGGATAAAGCACAAATACAAAGTATGAAAAAATAGAGATGATACAAAGTAGCCTAAATAGTCCTTGTCTGGAAAGAATGTAAGGATTTATTGAGAAAACAAAATATGCATGCTGAGTTTCAAATAAGGAAACAATTCTTAGATTTTAAAAGCACATTGTATTTTCCCTTTCCTCATCTTTTCCAGATAACATTTATTTTTGTTGAGTTCAAGTGTTTAGTTCCCCATGGCTAGCTGTCTCCACCTAGACCCAACTCCTTGAGGCCATATACTGTCTTCTGTGTCCTCAGCACCAAGTGCAAAAAGGTGCTTTAGAATCCTTAGGTGTGGGTGCCTGGGACCCTATGATTTTGTGGGATGTAAGAGGTTGTTTCTGGAACTTCTATTTTTATGTTTTTCTTCTTTTTTTTTTTTAAGTTTTTTTTTTTTTTTTGTTTTTTTTTTTTTTTTGACAGACAGAGATCACAAGTAGGCAGAGAGGCAGGCAGAGAGAGAGAGAAGGAAGCAGGCTCCCTGCTGAGCAGAGAGCCAGATGCGGGGCTTTATCCCACGACCCTGGGATCATGACCTGAGCCGAAGGTAGAGGCCTTAACCCACTGAGCCACCCCGGCGTCCCCCCCACCTTTTTTAAAAGATTTTATTTTTTATTTTTTTTAAACAGAGAGAGATAGCGAGAGAGGGAACACAAGCAGGGGGAGTGCGAGAGGGAGAAGCAGGCTTCCCACCAAGCAGGGAGCCAGATGTGGGGCTGGATCCGAAGATCCCCCCCCCTCCATCACGACCTGAGTGGAAGGCAGATGCTTAACCACTGAGCCATCCAAGCGCCCCCATGTTTTTGTTTTTCAAGAGAAGCTATGAAATACCTGGTTTTAAAATATTGAAAAGTCAATGTAAAAAACAAAAGTTTGAAAATACTGAGCACCTGGGTGGTGCAGTCCACTAAGCCTTAGTGTCTTGGTTTTTGCTCAGATCAGGATCTCAAGGTCCTGATATCCAATCCAGAGTCCTGGTTCTGCATTCAGCACAGACTGCTTGAGTATTTTTCTCCCTCTCCTTCTGGCCCTCCCACTAGTTCTGTCTGTCCGCCTGTCTCTCTCTTTCTCTGAAATAAATGAATAAATCTAAAAGAAAGAAAGAGAAGAAAATACTGAGTAGACCCAACAATGCACGACTGTGGTTTACGAGTAGATGGCAATTAAAAATTTTAAATAGTAGTGACCATTTCTTCTCTATGTCAGCCATTTTGTATAAATTATTGTTTTATTAACATAACTAATAACATAGATAATGCTCCTGAGTGAAAATTCAAACAGTATATAGGCGTATGGACTAAAAAGCAAAAGCCTATTTTTTCCTCTGCAGGTGTTGCCACCCATTCCCGGTTTGGGGTGCATTCCTCCAGCTACGCATGGACAGACATATCTGCAACCTTGTCATAGTTATCAGATTAGTCCCATTTTACAGATGAGGAAACTGCAGCACAGAAAGGTGGAAGTCTTCATCTAAGATCACAGAGCTGCTCCTGGAGGGATCCAAGATTCTAATCCAGATCCTCTAACTCACAGGTCAGCGCATTCTTTCTGCTACGCCCCATGTGTAAAATTTTGTGGATAAAGAAACCGAGGCTCATGGAGGTCACCGAGCTGTCACACCACACAGCTTGCATCCCAGTCCCGGAGAGGCAGTGGGTAACCGGGCTCTCAGGGAGGCGAGCGCGAGGACACCCGCTGGCCCGGGGTCCCATGGCTCATCCCGCTGCAGCGCGCAGCTCCTCCCTGCGCGGGGCTCGCCCACGCCGATCCGCGCCCCTTGCGCAGCCCGCGCCGACCCGCTTGGGAAGCCGGGGTCCCGGAGTCCAGAGCCCCGGCCCGGTCCAGCGCACGGGCCCAGCGACGGCTGCCTCAGCAGTGGGTAGGAACCGCCGCGGCTCCGCCCGAGCCGTGGTCCGGCGCCGGGCACTCGGTGGTCGAGGCTCTCAGCCCTGGGGTGGGTGGCCCAGACGAGCAGGGGGTGGGGGGCCGCCGAGGGGCGCGGGCTGGGCGCGTGGCGGGCGGGGCGCTGGCGGGCGGGGGCGGGCGCGGGGGCGGAGCCGCGGCCAGAGGAGGCAGTGTCCCGAGCCCCGCTCAGGGGCCGGAGTGGCCGCCGCGGAGCCAGGCTGCCTCCAGGGAGCGCCCGGGCACAGAAGGGTTAACGGGCCACCGGGGCCCGCGCAGAGCAGGTACAGACCCCGCCGGGACCCCCGGCCCCGGCCGCCCTCTCTCCCGGGTCCCGTTAGAGGCCCCGCCGCGCGCGCCCGCGCAGCCCCAGCTCCCCGCGTCCCGCGTCCCGCGTCCCGCGTCCCGCGTCCCGCGGTCGTGCCCCAGCCGCGACCCCGGCCCCAGCTCTGTAGCCTCGGAAGATCTTCCAGTTCCTGGGGTCGAATTCCTGGGGAGGGGGGTTCGGATCCTGTGGAACTCTGGCCCCATCACCCGGGCGGAGAATCAGCCAAAATTCCTACTAAGTCACGGAGTAAAGTTGGAAAACATACCCAGGACCTCCCCGCACGCGCCGGCGCCTCCTTCGAGGATGTGTGCCCCTGTCATCCCCGTAAATCCAGGAACTGGGGTCAAGGACGCTGGGAGGGTTGCGCAGGGGTGCCCTTGATTTGGCAGAGCCTGATGACTGGAAAGGAAGGACACCTGTTTGGATCGTCCTCCAAGACCCATGAATGGAGGGCACAGTGAGGACCAAGGAGTTCTGACCCAGGGCAGGGACTCTCCAGCCAGCCCTGAAACTCGCTGTCCCACCCTCTCCCCTGCAGCAGCAGCCCATTTTCCAGAAGTGGGTCCCTCTGGGGTTGAAGGGGTTAGCCCTGCCCAGGTCTGTCCTCCTTGATCCTCACTGGCTGGTGTGGAGGTGTGGCCAGGAGGGGCCCAGGTTTGTCCAGACGAGCCTGCCAGGGGGATGACCACTTTTGACCTCTCCTTTCCTCACCCTGGGCAGTGAGACACATCAGATGAGGAACATAAAAAGGGGTGAGGAGCACAAATGTGTGTCTGTTTCTGCAGTGGAGGGGGTGTCGGTCCCCTGCCCAGCTGTGCAGGGGGTGGGGTAGGACTTTTCCAGAGAGGGAGCCAGGCCTGGCCAGGGCTCCAGGAGTTCACGTCACCCCCACCCCCCACCCCTCACTTCTCCAGGGAACTGCCAAAGCCAAACCCAGCTCAGGACAGGATTATGTGTACTGGGTAGACCCGTAGAGAGAGAGACAGCAAGATAGAGATGGGGGGGTTGCTGAGGGAGGCAGAGAGAAGCAGAGCCTGAGAGAGAGTGGAGAGGGTACGCAGCAGTAGACAAGGGGCAGACAGTGACCATCAGCCCCATCTCTCCTCTTTGACCTCAAGCAACAGGGCCAGGGAGAGAGCTGAAGGCTTGGGTGGACCGTTGGCCCTTCTCTGGAGCCCCTACGCCCCCATCAGGGTGGAGTTGCTGACCTCAGTGGCTAGCCCAGCCAGGGGAAGGAGCAGCCATCAGCAACCCCTTCCCAACCCAAAACAGCTGAGGTGACCCTGGGCATTCAGGCTCAGCCTCTGCAAAACCCCCCTCAAACTTCCAGGTCTTGGGGTCTCAGGGAGGGGAGTGGGACTGAGAGTATTGCTACCCCCAAGTACATTCCTGCCCTTCCCTCTGTCATTTTCCTGCCCCTAAGCTGGCCCACCTCGGCATTAGCTCCTTGGATTCCTCTCCCGGGTGCCTTTCAGATCCAACAGAAACATTTTTTTTTTTTTTTTTTTTCCTGGAAAGCAGAACTAAGAGCGGGTTGAGGAGTGGGGGTGGGAAGGGCTCCTCCTGAGCAGCAAGGAGCTGGAGAGGACTGGGGAAGCTGTGGCTTTGAGACCAGGCTAGGGCTCCAAGCTCCACTTCCCTGATGATGAAAGCTAGACTTCAGGATGGACTTCCTGGCTCCTCAGGATGATAGGACTATGACTGGGGAGCAAGGGCTGCATCTCTCCTTCCCAGGTTCCCCCAGCCCATCATCACCGGGCCTGAAATAAGCCCTCACTGAACCAGTGCTGAGGGACGCTGGTCCCTAGAGGGAGGTTAAATAAAATGGGAAAATCACCTGGTTCTCTAAGAGATTAAAGCATCAGCCCATTTAGTTTATCTCTTGGCTAGAAAGTGTTTGAGGCCTGCAGAGATGTGCCACGGAGTTCCAGAGGGAGCCTAGTTAAAATAAAACAGAAGAAAAGGCTGGGAGGCAAGTAAGAACAGGAAACCTTAAGGGACTTCTTAGCTGCTTAGAGTGGGTATCTGCAGTCTTCACCCATGCCTCCCTCAACTGTCCAGGACCTCTGGAAGGGCAGGAGGCAAACAAGACAAAAAGTCATCTTAAGGAAGACACGTGCGCATGTGTGGCCTCCTCTGGCCGGTAAACAATCACTAGTTGAGAGGAGGGAGGAGCTAAGAAGTTCCTGCAGGCTGAAGGGAGGGAACTGTGCTACAGTTGGGAGGCTGAAGTCAGACCCCCACCCTCTAGCCTTGGCGACAGGAAAGGGCAGCATTCCTTCCCGCTGTCACCCTTAGGGTCATAAAGGGGTGGGCCAGTCTTCCTCCACCCCTCCATCCTCACTCGGAGATGTCCTTCTGAGGAGCCATCCCTGCCAACCCCTGGCTTTCTGGAGCTTGGAGAGGTAACCACCAGGCTTCTGTCCCCACAGAGCGCGCCCCCTCCATACCCAGATGCCTAAGTAGTGTGTTTACTTCCGGTCTCCTCTCCTAGGCTCAGGGCATCGAGGGAGGAGCGATGGAGAAGTGGGCGGGCAGGTAAGTGTGAGGCTGCCGGCAGAGAGGTGGCTCTGTCCCTGCAAGTGAGGGAAAGGCCATTACTGGGCTTGGGGGGGGGGGCAAGTGATAAGAAGCATCTGCTTTCTGAGAAGCTGGCATTAGGATGTGGGGAGCCTGCTGAGGGGGAGGGGGCGTCATAACACCTTCTCTGGCTGGTTTGCAGGCCTCAATTGTGTCTGATGCTGCTTCTGTCCCTCCCTGAGCTCGGCCTGGATCAGGAGGTGCGCCAGGGACCAGAGGTTGTGATCCTGTCATCCTCCCTAGCACCCACCCCACTTCTTCAGGCCGGGCGTCCCGTTTTCTGCAGCTTCTGATAAAACATGGCGCCTTTCACATTTGCCTTCTCCCCGACCCCACTAACTCCTTGCCAAACAATATCAAGTCTCACCTCTGCTATTGACTGTGACCTTGGACCAGTAACAACTGCCCCCATCCTCGGGTCCCGGACTAGATACCCTGTACAGTTCCCTCGAAAATCCTTCTAATTTTGTCTGACCTTTTTGTCCACATAGGTGTTGTCTGGACACTCTCTTCAGACACCCCCAGAGGAGGGTCAGGGCCCTGAGGGTGTCTGGGGTCCTTGGGAGCAGTGGGCCTCTTGCTCCCAGCCCTGTGGAGTTGGGGTGCAGCGCAGGAGCCGGACATGTCAGCTCCCTACAGCTCAACTCCACCAGGGCCTGCCCTTCCCACCCCGGCCCCCAAGACATCCAGAAGCCCTGCTCCCCCGGGGTCAGAGCCCCAGACCTCAGACTTCCCGAGAAACCCTCCCCCTGTACAGGCCACAGCCTCGGGGAAGAGGTGGCCCACGTCGAGGTCCTGCTTCCCAACTAGGGAGAGCAGAAACCCGGGAGATAACAGGAGCTCGGAGGTGAGGGGTGGGGCTTCGAGGGTGGGGGGCGGAGCCTTCTGTGAGGGTGGGGCTTCAAGGGAGGGCGGGGCCTTGTTTGAGGGGCGGGGCTCATCGAATGAAGGAAAGGGAGCAAAGGATGCATGGCTTAGGGAGGCTTATCTTGGGTGCTAGGATGTAGGCTGGGGAGGCAGGGCTGGAGTCGGCCAGAACTCCGACCCCATGTCTGCTACACATTCTCAGGTCCCGGGTTCGAGACCCCATCAAGCCAGGAATGTTCGGTTACGGGAGAGTGCCCTTTGCTTTGCCACTGCATCGTAATCGCAGGCACCCCAGGAGACTGCCCAGAGCTGAGAGCTCCCAGACCTCAGATCTTCCATCCCTGACTCCAAGAACAGAACCATTCTCCACAAACCACACAGCTCAAACTCAGCTCCCTCCTACAGAACTTTCTGCCCGCCCCCCACATCCCCCAGCAGAACTCCCAAGCCCTGAAACTAATCAGACAGAAGTGCCCTCTAGAACCAGGCCTGTCCCCACGCAGCCCCACCCCAGAGTCCAGGCCTCTGGCACAGAGCCTGCCTCGTCCATCCCCTACCCAGGAGAAAGTAACTCCTTCCATGTGTCCCCTCAGCCAAGAATGCCAGATTCTCAGGGTTCGGCCAGTCTCCAGGTGGCTGAGAGATACCCTAATCCTTTCCTCTCTGTCCCTCTGGGCAGAGGCCACCAGAGCCAGGAGCACTGGAAACCTGGGGGGAATCTCCATGGGTCCCTCATGGAGCCTGCCCCCCACTATCCAGATGGCTGGTTGCCTCTGCTGAATGATGGCCCCCATTCCGGTTCGCTTTGGAGCCTCTTTGCTCCCAATAGCCCTGTGCCAAGGTGTTCTGGGGAGAGTGAGCAGCTGAGAGCCTGCAGCCAAGCGGTGAGTTCTTCCTTGGACCATCCCCTCTCCAGACTTGCACTTCTGCTTCCCTGGCCCTAAGTCTGGGTCCTCAGCTTGTCAGATCTGGACCTGAGGGTGAAGGGCCTTGGCATCTGACCTCCTCAGGGTAGGGGCCTTGGAGCTCTTCCACAGACCTGACCTCCCCCCCACACCCCCAAATCCAGCCCTGACCCATACCCCCATTTTCCTCCCCAGCTTTGACTCCTCTGTATCCCCCCACCTCAGCCCTGCCCCCCTGAGCAGCCAGACCCCCGGGCCCTGCAGTGTGCAGCCTTTGACTCCCAGGAGTTCATGGGCCAGCTCTACCAGTGGGAGCCCTTTACCGAAGGTGAGGTTTCCAGCCCCCCCCACCCCCCACCCCGGGAAGATGAGCTGGCTTCAGACTGGGGGATGATGGGGAGAGGGAGACACCAGCCCCTCTATTTCTCTTCTGTAGGCCCTTGCATTTCTCCTCTGTGTAATATTTTCTTTCTTATTTCTCAGGGTTGGGGTGAAGAGACAGCACAGGCCAGGAAAGGGGAGTGGGTTTCTGACAGGGCCCAGCTGTCATATGGTGAGGGATAACCCTGCAGAGGGATCAGGCTGGGAGAGGGAGTATACAGAAGTGCCCTTTGGCTGCCTTCCTCTGGGAAGAAGTCCATCCCAGGAGGTGGACCTGACAGGAGGAGGGCATGGTCAGAGAGATCCTGTCCGGTGATGACATCAGAGTGGGGGTGTACCGTGGGCCCTAGCTAATGCTAGACCACTTGCTCCCAAGTTACTGTCTGCTTAATTTTCGGCCTGTGTCAACCCAATGCCAAGAAACCCCTTCATGAGCTCACGTAATCATAGGTTTCAGGTATCTGTTCTCTCTCATAGCTCACAACCCCTTTGCTGATCTCAGTGACCTCAACTGACCTGACTCAGTTTTTGTATGACCCTCAAAGCAACCCTTCAGAATACAGAATTGTTTTTTTCCCTCCATCCATGGCAACGTAGGCGAGCTCAGGATGTCCAATAGCCAAGATGGGACCTTTGTCAGCCTCCCAGCCGGGACCCCAGCTAACCACTCTCCCACCCTGTTTCTTAGTTCAGGGCTCCCAACGCTGTGAACTGAACTGCCGTCCCCGTGGCTTCCGTTTCTATGTCCGTCACACGGAAAAGGTCCAGGATGGGACCCTGTGTCAGCCTGGAGCGCTAGATATCTGCGTGGCGGGACGCTGTCTGGTGAGAGAGGATGGAGTGTGTGTGTGTATGCATGCACACACACGTGCACACACGTGGGCATGTGCACAGTCTCCTCAGTCATCATCACAGAAACAAAACCCCAGGCTGACATTGCAAAAAGGAAAGTTCTCACCTACCAAGCTGGAGGTGAGAGCAGAGCCAGAAGTGAATTGCAGGAAGGAACCCCTCAGGCGCGTGCACGCTTCCCTGAAGCTGGCTGGGGATGATGGGCTGGCACAGGAACACCTTCTCCCTCACAGTGTAAAGATCCAGATGCAGGGTGAGCTGGAGGGTCCTGAGAGGACCAGGCAGGGTGCGGTTCAGGTAGCCCCTGCCTCACTCTCCCCCAGAGCCCCGGCTGTGATGGGATCCTCGGCTCTGGCAGGCGTCCAGATGGCTGTGGGGTCTGTGGAGGGGATGATTCCACCTGCCACCTCGTCTCAGGGAACCTCACAGACCGGGGGGGCCCTCTGGGCTATCAGAAGATCCTGTCAATTCCTGTCGGAGCCACGCAGCTCCAGATTGCCCAGCTCCGGCCCAGCTCCAACTATCTCGGTGAGCTCTCCAGATTCTCTGAGTCTTGGTTCCCTGTTCCACTCCTGGTCTCTTGGTTCAGCCCTCCACAACACCATTGAGCACAGGAAATGGGCCAAGCAGAAAGAAGTCAGGGGCTCCTTCCCTTGTGGAGGTGGGAGGAAACTGAGAGAGTGCGGGGTATCGGGCTCTGTGTGGCTAAGTGGGGTGTAGGAGGAGGACATTATGACTGACCCCGTGCCCTGATCTCCAATCTTCAGCCCTTCGAGGCCCTGGGGGCCAGTCCATCATCAATGGAAATTGGGCCGTGGATCCCCCTGGGTCCTACACAGCCAGTGGAACTGTCTTCCTGTACAATCGGCCTTCCCGAGAGGAGGGCAAGGGGGAGAGTCTGTCAGCCAAAGGCCCCACGACCCAGCCTGTGGATGTCTATGTGAGCTTGGGGCCTGGGGAAGATGGACTGCTGGAGAGCGGGGCCTTTCCCTCTGGGGGCAAAGCTGTGGGGCACAAGATGGCGGAGAAGGCTAGCAGTATGCCCCCCCAGCCTCCTCCCCCAGACAATTCATTATCTCTCTCCCCAGGTGATCTTTCAGGAGGAGAACCCAGGCATTTTTTATCAGTATATTATCTCTTCAGTTCTTCCACACCTTGGGAGCACCACCCCAGAGCCCCACTTCCCCCAACTCCAACCAGGTGAGACTCTGCTCCCCAGACCTAGGAGGTGGGGAGGGGCTGCCAGGGGAGCTTCAAGGCAGTGGGGGGTATTTGATTTGCCTACTCAACTGTCCCTGCACAGGGATTTTGAAGGTGGAGCCCCCACCCGCTTCGATGCCCCGCCTTGCCCGGACCCCAGGCACCCTCCAGCGTCAGGTGAGGATCCCCCAGATGCATGCTCCACCCCATCCCAGGACACCCCTGGGGTCTCCAGCTGGATACTGGAAGCGAGTGGGATACTCGGAGTGCTCAGCATCCTGCGGAAAAGGTGAGACTTCATGCACCAGCCTGTATTCCTGGCACCCTTAGCTCACCTCCCTGACTTGGCACTCCTGATCCCACACCCTGGACTGTGGTCCATGCCTTGACTCTGTAACAAGTCAAATCCCAGCATCTGGGACCCCACTGAGCTCTGAGCCATCCTGCCTCCTGTGGCTTCCCTTTCATCCCCTTCAGGTGTTTGGCGCCCCGTCTTCCTCTGCGTTTCTCGTGAGTCAGGGGAGGAGCTGGATGAACACAGCTGTGCCATGGGCGCCAGGCCCCCAGCTCCCCTGGAGCCCTGCCATGGTCCTCCATGCCCCCCATAGTGAGTATGGCCCACAGGGAGGGCTAGGGTCTTAGGACCACGAGAGCTGTCCCAGGCAGACACATCCACACTGCCGTAGGATCTCACCCTGGGCTCTGCACCTAGCTCAGGGGATCAATGACAGTGTTTGATGAGAAAGGCTTACATTCCTGGGATGCCTGGGTGGCTCACTCGGTTGACTGTCTGCCTTCCGCTCAGATCATGATCTCAGGGTCCTGGGATGGAGCCCCACATCTGACTCCCTGCTCAGCGGGGAACCTGCTTCTCCCTCTGCCTCTGCCTGCCCCTTCCCCTCCTTATGCGCACACACTCTTTTTCTCTCAAATAAATAAATAAAATCTTTTTAAAAAGAGAGAGAAAGGCTCACATTCCCTAGACAGGAAGAAAACCCTGGCAGCCTGAGCCCCACAAGGGACCTCAGACTCAAAGTGATGAAGATTCCCCCTCCCCTCTGCGGGTCCCCCCAGCCCAAGTTCGTCATCCCTTCCCCACTACTCGTGGCAGCCGCACCCATCTCTGTTTCCCTGCTCTCTCTCTGCCTCTTCCGCGTCTGCGGTGCGCGCGCAGCTGGGAGGCGGGCGAGTGGACGTCCTGCAGCCGCTCCTGTGGCTCCGGCATCCAGCACCGCCAGCTGCGCTGCCGCCAGGAGTTCGGGGGCGGCGGCTCCTCGGTGCCTCCCGAGCGCTGTGGACACCTCCCTCGGCCCAATGCCACCCAGCCCTGTCAGCTGCGCCTCTGTGGCCACTGGGAGGTTCGCTCCCCCTGGAGCCAGGTGAGTGGGACCTGGCAGGGAGGCTGCTAGGTGAGGAAGGAGCCTAGGTGAACAGGCACCCGTGGGTAGGCACAGTGGTCTCTCCAGTCCTTTTTAATTAGGAGAGACTTTTTTTTTTTTTTTTTTTTTTTACTAACAAGACCTCTTGAGAAGCCCCCATCTATAAACCCAAATAAGACCCTGGACAGGGGTTGGGGGCCTAGAGCCACCAGCCTGCCCCCAGCCCATAAAGCCATGGAACTGCTCAGTCAGGGGTCAGAGGCAGGTCCTGGTTCAGAGGACGCGAAGCTAGGGGCTCAGGGAGGGGGGTGGGTTGCCGGGGATGTCAGGGGGGTGGGGAAGTCTGGGAATCTTTCAGAGGCTCTCCTCCCCTCAGTGCTCAGTGCGGTGCGGGCGGGGCCAGAGGAGCCGGCAGGTCCGCTGTGTGGGGAGCAACGGTGATGAAGTGAGCGAGAGGGAGTGTGCGTCGGGCCCCCCGCGGCCCCCCAGCAGAGAGGCCTGTGACATGGGGCCCTGTACCACAGCCTGGTTCCACAGCGACTGGAGCTCCAAGGTGGGCCCTGCACCCCTCGTCCGAGTCGTGCGTCCCTGGTGCCCCTAACCTAAGATCTTTCCCACACGTTTCCGTATGCATATACTCAGCAAGCCCTATTATGGGCTAGATGCCACTGGTACTGGGAACTGCGATATGAGTGAGGAAGAACTCGCATTAGGGTCCTCAGCCCCCAGGACAGGTTCCGCTTAGCTGGCTGGTAGCTGGGGCCCTCCCTAACTCTGGGGATCCAGGATGCATCACCCGCAGCCCCTCCTCCTCCCCCCCAAATCGATCACCTTCTCAATAGTGCTCAGCGGAGTGTGGGACAGGAATCCAACGACGATCTGTGGTCTGCCTTGGGAGTGGGGAGTCCCGTGGGGCGGGCCAGGAGGAAGCAGGAGCTGGGACCACTGAGCAGAGCTGTGCACCAGGAAGCCGTCCCCCGGACATGCGTGCCTGCAGCTTGGGACCCTGTGAGATGACGTGGTGCTGGTACACGGGGCCCTGGGCCGAGGTGAGCGAAAAGCCTGGGACAGGGCTGTCCATCAGTGGGAGTCCCTGTGGGCTGGCGGGAGTCACCCCTGTTCTCCCTTCCTCTTGCACACCCTCCCCTTCCTCTACATCAGTGCTCCTCAGAATGTGGCTCTGGCACACAGCGTAGAGACATCATCTGTGTATCCAAACTGGGTACAGAGTTCAACGTGACTTCTCCCAGCAACTGCTCCCACCTGCCTAGGCCCCCTGCCCTGCAGCCCTGTCAGGGGCAGGACTGCCAGGACCGATGGTTTTCTACGCCCTGGAGTCCGGTGAGTGCCAGGCCCCCTTGTCCTAAGTGCGGACTTCTAGGGAAGGGGAGGCTCCTCTCATGGCATCCCCACTGTGTCCTAGGACGAGGCCAGCTGCAGTCGGTTTATCAGTGTCCCATTTCCATGTAGACATGGAGGACAGGTGGACCCCGTCCATGTGGGATTTCATAATGTTCCAGGAGAGGCCTCACCCCCATCCCCCACATGCACACACTACTTTCAGAGAAGGAGGTGGCCTGGGGGTCAGGAGGAACCTGGGTCATAACAAAGGTCTGATTTGATAGCGGGTGTCCGCAGTGCTCTCGCTCCTGCCAGGGGGGTATTCAGACGAGGGAGGTCCAGTGTCTGACTGCCAACCAGACCCTCAGCGTCCGATGCCCTCCTCACCTGCGGCCCTCCAGGAAACGACCCTGTAACAGCCAGCCCTGCAGCCAGCGCCCCGGTAAAGAGCCCTTCCCCCCCAAATCCACCAAACAGTGGAGTTAACTGAAGTATGGGAGGGATGAGAGAGGACCAGTGGGAGTGGGCACTGCACCTCCAGAGGGAAGGGTCTGGGTGATGTGCCCACTGGCCTCCTCTGTCCCCAGATGATCAATGCAAGGACAGCTCTCCACATTGCCCCCTGGTGGTACAGGCCCGTCTCTGCGTCTATCCCTACTACACAGCCACCTGTTGCCGCTCTTGTGCCCATGTCCTGGAGCGTTCTCCCCCAGAGCCTGCCTGAAATGGGTACAGGAGACCCTCTCCTCATGGTTTCCTCATGCCACCATCAGTCACCCACACATCAGCCCACTCTGTACTCTCTGGCTCTCCGGCCTGCCCTAGTCTCATCAGGGATGTCCCCTAGGGTGGTTGAAGGTGGCAATGACGACTGTCAAGATATGTGGCTGTGTGTGTGTGTGTGTGTATGTGTGGTGTGTGATGTGATGGTCCATGTGCACACATGCACCACATGTGTGTTGGGGGCCTGCATGGATGGATGTGCTCATACACATATTATTTTTCAAAAAAAGAAGTGAAACAGACAGAAGAGGAGTGGAGAGTGGACGATGCCTGTTTCCCTGAGACTTTTCTAGGCTGAGAGGAAAGCAAGTTTGCAGCTCCTTAGTAATCCAAACTGCCTAGCACCTGGTCTCCCCATCAACCCGACTTTGTGCCCTAAACTTCATTTCTCATGTTCAGGCCTCGCCTCTTCTAAAGCACCATTTACCATCTGATCCCTTCTCCCCACACTTAGTCTCTCCATCCCTACCTCTCAGAATCAGCTAGGGATGGGAGTCAGCCACTGCCAGTCCTGCCTTACCCCAGGAAGAGAGACTACCTCCCCAGAGCAGGGACCAGCTGGGCAGAGGATGGAAAAAAGAAAAAAATAGAATAAGACACCCTAGCCCCTGCTCCCACTCCCCACCTCCGAAAATGGTCCCCCCCCCCAGAACTAATTTATTTTTTATTAAAGATGATTATGACAAATGAGAAACAGGCTCTTTATTGTCCTAATGGGAACCCATCCACCTGGGCCCTAAACAAGCAGTGTGAGGTCAGAATGAGTGGTGGGAAGGGGGAATAGTACCTATAGCCCAGGCGGAGAGAGTCTGGGCCCAGATAGGGTGTTAAGTGAGCCCCAATCCCCGGGGAGGATCCTGGCCAACCGTAGGCCCTGCAGGTTGGCCATCGACCACTAGAGGTCGCCACTTCTCCCACTTTAGGTATGGAGTTGGGAGCTTGGTTCCAGCGCTGAGGAAAAAACTGCATGGCCTGTGGTGGGTTTCTCCATAGACTGAGTCTTTCTGTAAAGTCTCTTCGAATCCAGTAGCTCTGCTTTCAGTCTGGGGCTGAGCTGAATAGCAGTTGGCTTTGCAGGGGTCTTTTCTCCTGTTCTCTTTCTTTGGCCCTCCCTGCGTGCTTCACCCATTTTTTCTGCCCTCACCCATTTCCGCATTAAGCTCTCGGTTTATTGCTTTTGCTAGGGTGGGGGAAAGGAAGTGACTTCTGCCCCTCCCTGCTTCCCTCCGCGGAAAGGACCGGAGGAGGAGGAGCCTGGCCTGATCTGGCTCTAGGGGACTTAGGGCGGGGTCGAGGGTGGAGCCAAGGCAGTACTGGATGTCCTGCCAGAGACATTCTTCAGAGATGTATCATGCTAGTCTCCCTTCCTGCGGTCTTGTCATCGCTCAAGGTAAATAGCTTGCTAGAGGTGGTATGAGAGCGGGCAGCTTATTCCACAGTACGGACCTCTGCAATTCTGAGGTCTGAGTTCCAGGTCTCTGCTTCTGGAAGCCGGATTTCCTGGGGGTCCCTGTGTCTAGGAGAGGAAGGGGGGCAGTGCAACAGAATCAGATTCATCCCCATTGGAAGCATCTCTCCCCCAGCTCTGCATCTCTACAAGTCTGACCAAGTAAGGCCATTAATAAAAGCCTGTGGAAACAATTGAACTCAGTGACAACCATTTCCTTGAACACACTAAGGCCCTGTGAAGGATACCAGAGTTGCCCAAGGATAGAAGATTTCTACTCTAGCAGCAGACTGGGGTCATGCTGTTGCCTGGGGACTTAGACTTTTCCTGTGTTGGAAGTGGCTGAGAAGGAAGACTTTGGGCAACATCTTGGGAGGAAAATGGGTGAGGAAGGAGGCCAAGGGAGTGGAGGGAGAGGAAAATGAAACTGACTCACCCTGGGGGAAGGAGTGAGGAAAAGGGCAAGCGCAGTCTCGGTGTCTCTGTTCTGCCTTAAGAGGAGCTATCAGACCTATTCTTCTGTCTCTGGGTGAACCTGTAAGGGGATCAGAGATGTGGGGGATCAGGGAAATGGGATCTGCTCCAGCCCAGTAGATACAGAGGGCAGAAGGCGGAGTCCCAAGACCGAGGGCGGGGGTGGCAGTGACTAGCTGGGGCCCTCCCAGCGATTCCTGGAAGCTGCAGCATGGGTGGTGGCCCCAGCTCAGCTGACTTCTCCGAAGTTCCCCTCCCGCTTAGGGCCTCTTAGGGCTGTTGCTGGGCGGGTTTGGAGTTTGGCCTGAGTCTGAGAACCAATCACAGGTGGGGATTGCAGCCGCAGCCCCTCTTAGGGCACCCCCGGCTTCAGCACCTCCTTGCTCTTTATGGCTGCCCCTGAGCCACCAGCCTCTGACTTCTCAGAATATGGGCTTTTGTTTGGGGCGTTGCCCCCTCCCCTCTCACTTTAAAGCTAGGATTCAGTGCAGCCCCTAAGGGTTCTTTCCTCTGGTCCTGAAGTCAGTATGGGGTCAGTGTGGATGGAAGCTTTCAGGAAGGGGACTCTGACCCGGAGCAACCCCTTTTCCTAGTCCCTTCTAGGGGAGTAGTGTGGCCAGACACCTCTCCTTTGACCTCTGAAACCCTCTAGAGGGACTTGGGAGAGAGGAAGCTGTGAGCCAAGGCCAGAGAGATGTGGTAGAGTGGCCCTGAGGTCTGGCATACTGGGGGGAATTTAGGGAAGGACTCAGAGGAAGTGGACCCCTAAGAATTGAGGTGGGGGTGGGGAGGTTATAGGAACAATCTTGGTATGCACGAGAGAGATCAAGCGTGCAGAAACTGGCCAGCGTCATTTCTGAGTGCTTGCTGGGGGAAGGGGATTGTGGTTCTGTATCAGTGTACTTGGGGGTGAACTTGTGAGGTCTCAGTTCAGCTGCGTCAGAATTCCTCTCCCCTCCCCCCTCCCAGCTTCCCCAGGGTAACTACCCATCCGATAAGCAGCAGCCTTCAAACTAAATTTATCTCCTAGACTTGCCCACCCCCCTGGGCCTCCCTGCAAGCAGGTGCTCACAGCTGGGTCTGTGGAGACCAGCACTCTTCACTGAACCAGCTTCAACCTTCCTGCTAACTAGGGGTGCGGCAGAGCGCAGGGCCTACGGGCTGCCCCAGGGCGTGTGTGGCCAGCCTTGAGGCTCCCTCTGTCAGGACTCTAGAGAGCAGAAATATGGAGGGTCTACACAGTGGGACAGAGAGGGAGGGATAAGAGTGAGAACAACAGGCAAAGAGAAGCTCCCCTCCAGATTCTCTCTGACCAGATCCTCTTTCATTTCTCACTCTCCCCTTCTGCCTGGTTTTACAGATAGAGACTTCATTTTATTTTTACTTATTTTTTTTTTAAGATTTTATTTATTTGACAGAGATCACAAGTAGGCAGAGAGGCAGGCAGAGAGAGAGGAAGAGAAGCAGTCTTCCTGCTGAGCAGAGAGCCCGATGTGGGGCTCGATCCCAGGACCCTGGCATCATGACCTGAGCCAAAGGCAGAGGCTTTTAACCCACTGAGCCACTCAGGCGCCGTATTTTTACTTATTTTTTAGACACTTCACTTTAACTTAACATGCTCCCGCACTAGAGTGAACCGAGTCAGGGAGCCGCCCCCTCTCCTTGAACCACGGAGAATCAGCCTAGACCAGAGATTGTAGTTTGGGTGTATGTGGTAGGGGTTCCCAGGTTCCCATGCTCTCCTACCAACACCCCTCAAATCCACCATCTCTCGAGCTGGGAGGCAGCTGGGTGGGCGAGTTAGAGCAGAGGGGGCTTATTTGTTACAGGCAGGCGATGAAGAGGTGTTAGCTTTAAAGGGTGGGGGCAGGGGAGGGGCTTCTTCCACAGGAAGTGGAAAACCTCAGGAAAGTACCTAAGTCGGAGTCTGTCAAGAGCAATAAACAGTTTGGGTTAACCTCAAACTAGACAGCACAAGTTCTGAATCTGACTTTGGGCCCTTGACCCGGGAGACAGGGGAAAATCTAGAGGGTGTTCTGGGGCTGAGGTTTGAAGGTAAAGAGAATTTGAGGGATGAATGTGTAACACTAGTCCAGAACAAGGTGCGCATGAGGCATGGCAGTCAGATCCCAGCGAAGCAAGCAGGCCTCAGGGGAAGGGGAGGTGTAGTAAGAAGCTGACAAACCAGGGGGTTTTCTCAGGCAGCAACAGAGAACTGTTGGAGTGGCCTGGGGAAGAACCCCAGTAGTTAGAGGCGGGATGGGCGCAACTTAGGAAGATCCCTGGCTGGGGTTAGATGTGCAATGCTGTACTCTTCTGTGCCTTGCCTGAATCTCTTTGAGACACAGCTGGGGCACCTGGCTGGCTCAGTCAGTGCATGTTTGGGGTTGTGGGTTCGAGCCCCACACCTGGCGTAGAGCTTACTTTAAAGAGGAAAAAAAAAAAAAGACACAACGCTATAGAACTTTGAGGAGGAAATGAAAACCAGGAAAGATGGTAGGATTATTCCTAAAATGGAGCAGACTGTATCCCTGGGATCTGTGGGCTAAAAGGTATGGTGCCGAACGCCCTGTCACTGACCAGAGGGACAGAACTGATCTGCCCTTGGAACCAGAGTACCCCTCCTTTTTTTATCTCTCCCTCCCCACCCTGCTACTGACTCCTGGTTGACCTGCCTCTTTCATCACATAATGTGACTCCTTTTTGGCTCTGGTAGAGGAGTGAGCAAACTTTTTCTCTGAAGGACCACAGAATAGGCCATACTATCTCTCTGTTGTGACCAGTTGACTCTGCTCTTGTAGCACAAAAGCAGTCAGAGACAACCTGTAAACAAATAGGCCATGGCTGTGTTCAAATCAAATTTATGACACTGAAATTTTAATTTCATGTCATGTTAACATGTCACAAAGTATTTTCCCAACCACTGAAACATATACAAAAATCACACTTAGCTTGCTGGCCACATAGACACTAGGGCAGATTTGGCAGGCGGGTAGTTTACAGACCCCTGGGACTTTTTCCATCTGGCTGAACTTCTGCTCCACCTGGCCATGGAGAATCCTGTTTGTGTCACCTCTGGCCTTCACAATATAGCTGTAGAACCCTTTCAAGGTCCTACCTACTGATGGCTGCTTCCTAGTGGCTTCTTCAGTGACTTGGAAATGGCCAATAGAATAAACCCTTAAGGGACATTTCCTAAAATTCCTTATGTTTTGGATAAGTGCTTTAGGGTAAAGCAATTGTATATATTCTCTTTAAATCATCACAATAATAAAGTAGGGAGGACAGTTAAATCCAGTTTATAGGGGAGAAAACAAATGCCTGAGACCTAAGGTAGTCTTTTCAGTCTTCAAATTCTACCTAATTCCTTTGTTCTATTACTCAATTTCACTCCCATAAGGCACCCTTTATCAAAATATTCAGTAATTTGGGCCGCAGTGATCCAGAACTTGGATGGCTGTGTTTTTGTTGTTTTCAAATGCCTTTCATGACTTGCCAGAATTTTAGGAAAATCCTATCTAAATTTTCTTTTTCAACCCAAAGTTTCAGAGAATTAAAAATACTTTCAAATGTATTCAGCATTTTAGCCCCAAGGAAATAATTACATATACATGGTCTTTGTTTAAGGTACACTGTCATGAAACCTACACTTGGGTATTACTAGAGTCACAGCTTTTTCCCTTAGACAAACTTTATCGCTCAAAGTTCTGTCCTTAAAAGGAATGCAGCTGCATTTCTTTTTAAAATAACCTATGTCTGGGGTGCCTGGCTGGCTCAGTCAGTAGAGCCTGTGACTCCTGATCTTGGGGTTATACGTTTGAGCCCTACATTGGGTACAGAGATTACTTAAAAATAAAATCTTTAATAAAATAAAATAACCTATATCTGGGATTGCTTACCAAATCCTTATTCTGTATTTGGAGTTTTTCTTTTATTCAGTAGCACTGATACATCCTACATGGCTCATCATGGGGAAGGAAGATACAGAGACCTTTTCTGTTTCAGACTTGACCCCAACTGCCAAACTCTATAAAGAGGGGGAAGGGGTCAGGGAAGCCAGGGCAAGAAACCTTTCTCCCCATTATAACCCAGCTCCTCCAGAGCTGTTCCTTAAAGCTGAAAGTAAGCCACCTCATTTCAAAACACACACACACACACAAAACATTTTATTTCGACACGAAAGTTATTTCCCTCTTTCTGTTTCTCTGCTTTGCCTGATGAGGGATTTCTGAGAAATGACATGTCACCTCCCACAACCTCAGTCTGCAGTTTTGTTTTTCGAAATGAAGAGAGAGAGGGTTAGAAGAAAGGATTATTCTGCCATAAGCATACAGTATTAATTCAAAACTTGACCACAAGAGAGAATTGCCCTTCCCAAAACCCTTCAGCCTGGGTGGGCGCACCTTGCCTTAGATCTGGGCTTTCAGGGTCTAAGGAAATAAACAAGCTATCCTTTCAGGAAATGTCAATAACAAAGCAGTGAAACCTAACAGCTGCTCTTTACAGCACCCCAGCTGTCCTCCTCCCCACTGTTCCCACCAAGGGTAGGAGAGGGGTAGGAATTGCTCCAGGCAACCTCAGAAGTGGAGGTGGGAGCTGAGGATGGGGACGCATAGAGATTCAGGAGTAAAATGCACACGAAGCTAAGGTTTCCCAGATAAAACCCCTACCTCCTCATGAACTCTGAACACCAGAGTCAGATCAGCCAAGTAGGGGAGACTGAACTGGGTAGCAAAATTTTTTAAACCAGCTCCTCTTACTAGCAAAGAAACTAACTTTTTTTTTTTTTTTTTTTTTTTTTTTTTTTAGGGGCACAGAACTGAGGTGTTTCTTAATCAAAATAAAGTGGAAAAGTCATCAAATCCAGGATGAAACACAACAGTTAAACATTCTTTTCCTTGTCTGCTTCCTTGGCTGGCTTTCCCAGCACACCTTGTTCCAGGCTAACTTGAATAAACACACACATGTGACCACAGGAGGGCGGGAAGAAAACCAAGTGGGGGTGGCGAAATTCTGAATGGAATGCAGCCCCAGCTAGTTAGGGGGCCCTGGCTGAGACCTCTGGCACTGGCAGTGGATTTATACAGACAGAGAAGCCAAAACAATGAGCTCATGGGCAAGAATGCAGCCTGTGGGGAAGTCTGGGCAGTCAGAGCAAACTGGTTTTTTAACTAGGATGGGAATAGCTGTAATCGAGTCTCCCACGGGAATAGGATTAGGGAGCGTGGAGCCACCATTCAGTATCTTGGGGTCCAGTTTAATAACTTTTGAGGGCTGTCCTTTATTCTCAAAGTCTTCTGCAGAGAGCACAGTACTCTCGGGTCTGTATTCAAGTTGGTTCCTTTCCCCAGTGAGTGAACTACCTACTCTAGATGAGGCTCTTAAGACCTTATTCAAAGCAACTGGATCTAAAGCAGGTTTGCCAAAGCCAGCCCTTCAGCCAAGATCCAGCGATAGCTGTGAGCGCAGAGACTGTGTGTACTCAGGGCTGCCACTTGAACATGACAGAGGAAACAATCAATGGCGTCTGTCTTTTTTACTTCCCAAATAAACACAACCCACCCACCTGTGTCATTTACACCCAAGTCAGACTTCCAAGACCAAAGACACATTTTTTTTTTCCTCCACCAGTGTTTTTCACTACTTTTATATAAGGCCCCAAAAGGAAGAAATTGAACAGATACTACATTCAGTGGCTATGTATGGTAAAGGGGAAGGAAGGCAGGGAGGGAAGAAATGAGAAGAAAAAAAATTATCTGCATCTCCCCACCCTCCCCCTTTGCTCCTAGAGGTTCTTTCCTAAGACCATACTTTTGTGCATTTTGTTCCTTATTCATTAAGGTTCAACCTAATTTTTTTTTTAAGATTTATTTATTTTAGAGACAGAGAAAGGAAGCATAGGGCGGAGGAGCAGAGGGAGGGGGAGAAATAACTCAAGCCAACTCTGTGCTGAGCAGAGCCTAGTGTGGGCCCTAAAAATGTTTTTTTGAGGCCTTGACCATATCTGCTTCCAGAAGTGGTCACCCTTTGTTCCACTCCTTATCTTAGAATATCTTTATCATGGCACTTTATGCAATGTATTCTAACTATTTTTGTCCATGGTTGTCACTCCTACAAGACTGTAAGCCTTGACATCTTTTTTTTTTTTTTTTTAAAGACTTTATTTATTTGACAGAGAGAGAGAGAGATCACAAGTAGGCAGAGGGAGGCGCAGAGAGAGGAGGAAGCAGGCTCCCTGCCCAGCAGAGAGCCTGTTGCGGGCCTCATTCCCAAGACCCTGGGATCATGACCCAAGCCCAAGGCAGAGGCTTAACTCACTGAGCCACCCAGGTGCCCCTAAGCTTTGACTCTTGCCACAACTGGCTTTCTCATTCTATGGTTTTGTAATACATTCAACTCTTCAGCACCTATCCTGAGAACAAGGACCTTCTCTTATATAATCAATCACACTACAATTAAAACACACTCAATTTAACACTGATACAGTACCGTTTAACATATTGTCCATATTAAAATTTCCTCAACTGTACACATGTCCCTTATAGTTTTCATCTAGGATCCAATCAAATATCGTTCTACCATTAGTTGTCATGTTTCTTTCCACTGTTCCCTATTGTTTTTTTAAAGTAGTCTCCATGCCCAATGTGGGGCTTTAACTCACAACCCTGAGATTAAGAGTTGCATGCTCCATTGATGAGCCAGCCAGGCACCCCAGTTCCCTAGTCTTTTCTTTCTTGAGGAAGAATTATTTCCTTTAAAATTTCAGTGTCCAACAATGCTTGGTGCAAGCAGTCCACTGCCATGTAATGAATAAATGAAGAGACTCCAACAAACATCTGGCTGCTTAGAGCTCATTAAATGTCCCAGCTCATTGCAGAGTTGAAACATTCTTAATAAACTACAGTAATCCTTGAACAGGAAATGAGAGCAGGCAAAGTGAATAATACAGAAACAGCAGAAATACACCATGAAAATGGAAACTTGGAAGGGGTAAAATCTGGAGTAGTATCCTTGGTCCTAACAGTTTTCCTATCAGTCAGGAACAATTATTCTATGCAGGTAAAGAAAGGAACCGCAAAGGGAAACCAAGTATAGTGTGGGAACAAAAGCCTGCCACATGTATTCTTTTTTTTTTTTTACCTCTCAAGAATCATGAGTAAGGAACACTGAATTCTCAGGGCAATTGGCTCAGTTGGTAAAGCAGGTGACTCTATCTTGGGGTTTAAGATTTGAGCCTCATATGGAGTACTGAGCTTACTTAAAATCTTTTAAAAAACAATGTATTTAAGTAATCTCTACACCCAACATAGGGTTCAAACTCATGACCTGGAGATCAAGAATCACACACTCCTCTGACTGAACCAGTCAGGTACCTTACTTTTTTTTTCGTTAACCTAGGCTCCATGCTCAGCCTGGGACCTGAACCCACAACCCTGAGATTGAGTTGCATGCTCTATCAACTGAACCAGGTAGGTGCCCCCAAAATTCCGAAGTCTAAAAAAACAAAACCAACCCCCC